CCGTCTAAAAAAATAAATCAATAAGTCAAGTATGACTCTTATATTTAACTGCAGGCTGCTTAGAAGTTGTCAAACACACCTTTGGCAGATTACAGACAGATCGGTCCTGCGAGAAGCGTTCCTGATTCAAAGAAACTTGTCAGCACCGGGACAACAAAACCCTAAAACCTCCCAAACTGAGTAACAGGCTGCCGTGTGTTCACCTGCCCACAGACTCTGTGACATCAGTCAGGCTGCTGAGCCTCCACAGAAGGTGTTTGCATCTTTACACTGAAGCTGTGAGCTTCCATGATGGTCCAGGCTGGACGTGAAGCTGAGCTCCACTGTGTTGCCTCCATCTAGTGTTCAGAAGTGAAACTGCTTCCTGCTCCGTGAAGCCACACAAACCATCAAGTGGAGCTGCATCTGGTCTCATTGGTCAACAGGAAGGAGGGAGGTTTAATGACTGAGTTTGGATTTCTCTGTTGAACCAATGAAAGGAAGTTAAATCCAACTAAAAGGAGGAAATCTACAAGAAAGCATGAAGCTGTTTGTCCAACTGATGCAGACGTGACGATGTTCGAGCTCATCAACCCTGAACTGTGACTTTATGGGAAACAAAAACTTTCCCAGTAAATCATTTTGTTGTATTTTGTCAAACCTGTAAAATCTAGGATGTGCGTTAATTAAAGGGGATCAACACAAAATCTATTGTTTCTCTCAGAACCTGCCGTAAGAGAGTAAATTATGCTTTCTATAGTTGCATCTGTTGAAATGTTTGAAATGTTTATAGAGAGCAGATAAAATAGAACGAAGGTCTCCAGCCTGGATACAGCGGTTATATGCATGATGTCTGTCTGCTGGTCAAAGGACTGTTCCTGAATTATTATGGTTTCAATGCCTTTATTAACATCATTATTTGATGTGTAGTTTTGCTTTCATTTGCTCAGTCCAGCAGTTCAGACTGGGTTATGGTGATATTAATTCAAAAAGCTTACGTGACAACATTTATGGTCTGTTTGGAGAGAAGTAGCTTCTGTGAAGCCACAGCGATGATGTAAGATGTCATCACATATCAGCACGTTTGAGCCTCAGACGTTATGTATGACAGCAGCAGCAACTGATAGTAAAGAAATAACAAGAGGATTTCATTTATTATATTGTAGGTCAGGGGTCTCCAATCCTGGTCCTCAAGGGCCACAGTCCTGCATGTTTCAGATGTTTCCCTCTTCCAAAAGCTCTGCAGAAGCCTGATAACGATCCTGATCATTTGAATCAGGTGTGTTGGAAGAGGGAAACATCTAAAACATGCTGGACTGTGGCCCTCGAGGACCAGGATTGGACACCCCTGTTGTAGGTGAATGGTTCTGGTTTGGTTTTGCAGCGTTCAGCTTGAGCAGAACGCTGTTTGTGCAAAGTCATTAAAAGTTGGTACAGAAGAGACAAACCTGTTCCTGCTCCTGAGCCTTCAGCGCTGGAATGGGAGCAATGTGTTCAACACTCAGGCTCCTGATGTTCTTCTAGAGCAACACATCAGCTGCTTCACTTCCCCGTGTCTTCATGATGAGGCACTGGTGGAGGTCGTTTTGTTAAATCAAACCAGTAAGGCACAGCGGCGCCTTTCCCAGTGCTGCTGTTTGTTGCTGTGCAGCTACAACGGCTGCATCATAAAGATATGAAGATAAAAACTTTGCTTTTGTTCTTGCACATATTTTGGTTTCAGGTTAGAGTTTCAGTAGAGACAAGTGTTTTAGATTTTATTTAGAGAAAGAAAAAAACAACTGAAATCTTGAATTCTGCTGAAACGAGTCCCGAGCTCTGATTAAACCGGACGTGTATTCTTTAAGCGTTTTTATGTGATTTTTAGAAAGTAAATAAACTCAACTGGGCGACTGAGGTGATGTATGTAATTATATTTAACATTCTGTTGGGTGTTTCAGGCAGTCGGTGATAATTCAGGTTTAATGTGTTTGTTTGTACTTGACAGAAATCTGTCGCATCTTGTCCTCTGGCACCTTCACTTCCTACACCTTCACCAATGATGTCATAGCAGCAGAGTGTGTGTGTGTGTGTGTGTGTGTGTGTGTGTGTGTGCAGTATGCAGAGCATCGACATGCATCTCCACTCTGAGGCTGACTCATCCCCATATATCACGCAAACACACCCTCGTGTCTTGGCATCATTTCTCTCATGTTTGCTTGTTTTCTTTTCCGTCAGCTTGGCAGCGGAGGGTGTCGAGAAGGCGGGACGGTCTGAGAGGAGATGCATCACTGACAGGCTCACATGTTGGAGGAGTGAGGTAAATCCTCAGGTGAGTCACATGTCAACACGGAGAGCTGACCTGCTAAAGAGTCTCAACACAGCGAGGTTTTCTCTCAACTGTCATGACCAGTTACTTCTTAAAAAACGGATTTTAGTGATTGTGAAGTTTAACACACGTCCCATTAAGGCTCCAGCCAAAGAACATTTACATTATCCTTGAATGTGCCACTAATTAAGGTATTTTCCTGATTATATGATTTACTATTTTATCTACAAACTGTCAGAAAATTCAGAAAAATGTCCAGTTTTCCATCTTCTGTTGGACCTCACAAGCAGTTGAAATATTTCCTTTGGTATTAGAGAAGAGGGCTGCAGGTGGATCAGTGGTTAGCACCGTGGCCTCACAGCTAGAAAGTCGCCGGATGGCATCCCGGTGAGGACACCCGGGATCTTCCTGCGTGGAGTCTCCATGTTCTCCCCGTGCAGCGTGGGTTCTCTCCGGGTTCTCCGGCTTCCTCCCACAGTCCAGAAACATGCTGAGGTTAATTGGTGATTGTAAATTGTCCGTAGGTGTGAATGTGAGTGTGCTTGGTTGTCTGTCTCTAAGTGTAGCCCTGTGATAGACTGGTTACCTGTCCAGGTGAACCTGCCTTCACTCCAGCCCCCCATGACCCTATAGTGAGGATTAAGGTGTAGAGATGATGGATGTTGGAGAAGAAGTACATCAACAAATGTCTTCACATTTCTCATCCCAGATGTGTTGACTCAGTTTCTGCTGATTGAGGATTCAGTTAATGGTCTTAATTACTCATGTTGTCTTGTAACAGCATTACATTCTAACATCTAAACTGATGTAAAATTACAGTTTGATGTAGTTTTTTTTGTGTGTTCATCAATTTTAGTAAAGTTAGAGGTTCAATGCAGCCAGTTTAATTAAAAGCTCTTTTCTTTGCCAGTCGTTCTGTGTTCTCTCCAGATGTGGAGACTTCCTGTGATTTTCTGTATTGTGGACGAGTGAGGAGCACGATGAGACGAACGCCGTCTCCATCAGTCCACGTTTCCTCTGGAGTCTCTGGAGGACCCAGACATGTAGATAAACTGGCACTGGAGTGAGCAGAGATCTGCTTCAGTGCCAGAAGGGGAGGAGGAAGAGACATGCCGTCACTGAGCGCTGTCACTGAGTCAAGGTTTTCCAGTGATTCACGTCTGTGCAGAAGCTCAACAAGGGGCTCAAAGTGGAGTCACTCTCCCCCTTTTTCTCACCACCTCCATCCTCCTCTTCCTATTATTTCACTCCTCCTCCTCTCCATTCATCTCTTTGTCCGTATTCCCTTTCCTTCCTGCCTGCTAATTGTCGTTGCACCACACCATTTATTTCTCCACTCAGCCAGCAGTACTTTTCTCCGGGCCAACACTTTTCAGCGGTGTCTTCAGGCTCTTGCTGGGAGACCTCCAGGACGTTCAAAAAACTCAAACACACCCAATTCCACCTGCGGGCCGGCGCAGCCCGACAGGGGATTTCAGCGCTGATGACGGGGCAAACTCTTCCTTCCTGAACCCACATAAATCTGTCGGTGGGCTCCGTCCTATAGTCTGATATTAAAGCTGTTTTCCATGACATGCCGCTCAGCAGGGGAGGGAAAGCTGTTGTTGACTAACAGGATGGCTGGGAGGACGGATTGTGGTTAGAACACACTCTGCTGGAGCAGAAAAACACCAGCTGACCTGTTGGGAAGCTCACTCATGATGGTGCAGAAGAGTTTTGTTGTTTTTAACTCTAATGTTCTTCTGAGTAAAAGCAAAAAAACAAACTTCCATGAGGCACTACATGCACTCCTCATGGTCTCGTGCTGCTTATTGATTTTTGGGTCCTCGTAGCAAACAGAACAGCGTGAGCGCTGCCCTTCCTGCCGTCTACTCCTGCTTTTATTTTGCTGTGTGTAAATAACACCTTGGCTCCTCTTCTCCCAGAAAAAATGACAAGAATGGGCTTGTAAGGACATTTCTCAACTGAGTGAAGGACCTCTGTCATCTCAGAGTCGGAGTGGTGGAGGCTACCGTCCTCAGGCTATAATCAAACACACACACACACACACACATGGACAGGCATGTGCACATGTAAGCTCTGTGTGTGAACGACATGGAGGCTCTGAGAAGCTTGTGACTAACAGGTAAAGGTGTTTTGTTATGAAAGGAGGCAGAGCAGTGATGGTACAACTGGAGCATTTAATTTTAGACAATGATGCACAAACTCTTTACAACTTTTTGTTTTATACAATACTGAGAATAAATACATAAACACATGTTGGTACCACATCCTGGTCACATTTTCCCATCATGCACTTTCTATTACTTGACAGACAGCATGTTTCCATCACAGCGTTGCACGTCTGTATGAGTCCACTCATTACTTCTGATTGTTTCAGTAATGCAACACGTTCTAATAATTCAGCTTCTGCATTAAACCAGGAAGATGCTGAGGTGGCTTCAATGACCAGAACATAAATCTGCAGTTTATCTACAACATTCTTTGGATGTGACATTTTGAAATGCAGGATCACAACACACCAGTATATACAACATTCTGCAGTCTGGATTGCCATTGCACTTTTATGTAAATGTAAATTCAGATGGCTCTGCTCCACGGTGTTACTGTAACACTGAGTTTTAGTAACAACACAGAAACCTTGGTTTCCTCCCTGAGATGATTCAAAAGTCTTCTGGTGTTTGTCCGTCTTCAGGGCTCACAGCAGCAGACGTTACAGGATGTCAGAGCACAGAGGGAGGCTGTGCTCCGGCTCCTGCAGGTAGCTCACCTGCCATGGAAGCCCCAGAGCGGCGGACGGCTCCACAAACGTGTCCATGTATCCCTGAGTGCAGGAGGCCCACATGCCCGGCTGGTAGCCCAGCCCCTCGCCCACCTGAGGGTACCGCAGAGGACTGGGCGGGTGGTCGTGGGGGCTGCCGCAGTGTCCATGTGAAGCATAGAGCTGTCCCTCAGTGGGGTAACAGGGGTAGTGTGGCGACGGGGGGCACGAGGACACGGCGTTATCCATGTAGACGTGGGGCTCCGTGGACAGCCGGTGCACGTGAGGCGCTTGTTGTGGTTGCATCTGGTGAGAGATGGACGCGTGCCAGGGAACGAAGCTCTGATGCTCCAGACGAGGAACGCTGACCCTGGTCTGGTCCAGGCGTGATGCGCCCAGCGCCGCCGGCCCCACGGACGACCTGTTGCACTCGCGGTGGGCGCAGGGCTTGCTGGGAGGGTTGGAGCTCAGGAACACCGACAGAGCGGAGATGCGGTTGATGGCCCTCTGCAGCGTGGCGATCTTGGAAAGCCGTTTGCCGCTGAGGTCGTGATTCAGAGCAACACGGAGGGCGTTGAAGGCCTGGTTGTAGTCCATAATTCTTTTTCTCTCGCGGACATTAGCAGCCATTCTCCGAGCTTTTGAACGGACGGGTCTGTTGCGCTTCTTGGTCTGGCCTTCCTCTGGGTCGCTGGGGCTGCTGGTTGAACTCTCGCTGTCTTGAAACGACGCCTTGGGACTCCTCTCGTCTTCACCTCGGCCCAGCACGCCGAGCTCCAGCTCCTCCTCAGAGAACTCTGAACCCGCAACGCTGCTGCAGCTCATTGTGTGAACGATGTGGACGAGTCAGAGTTAATCTTCCCACTCGTATGAAGAGTCTTAGATGTGCTTCCAGGCTGCCAGCGCTCCTCCACTCGCTCCCTGAGAGCTCCTGGGCTTGTGTTGTGGGGCTGCCGGTGTTTGCTGCTCTGCCGACAGCCCAGGTATCCTCCTCCTCTGACTCCTCTGGTGCCTTGTGATTACTTGTAGCTCGACAAGACAGGTTGGCCTGCTTTTTAAAGATGTTGAAGTCACATGGTACAGTCACCTGTGAGGAATGGTGCACTCTCTCTCCCTTTCCAGGTTTATGGGTGCCCTGCAGGCTTATGGCACTGTCACCTCCTCCTCCTCCTCCTCCTCCTCCTCCTCTGACTCTCCCTCACATCCTTACAGGATCTTGCAGAAGAGTTTCAACACCTCATGTGAGTGTAAAACATAACAAAACATACCAATTACTTGGAAATAGCAATTAGCTTCACACTTCCTTTGAAACGTTCTTGTTTTGTTCAGTGACGTGTAGTTTTGCAAATTTAACTTGTTTCTGTTCGACTAGTCTATTTTCTGTTTTTACTTCTTCTATGAACAGCGCTGCATTATTCTCCTCAGACTGAATGTTCACCACCATGACTTCTCACCAACGTGGGCCTCTTTCTCTTTACAGTAATTGGTAACGAAGGGATATTTATTTAACTCGATGCTTCATGACTATTCGTCTCAGGGACATTCATGACAAATTGCACATTTATCCAAGTGGCCTAATCTGTTCTTCGTGTTTCCCCTTTTGTCAAGTCTGGGAAGAGAGGAACCTTCTTATCTACCGAAGGTTACGTTTGTCCTTGCAATTAGCTGTCTCTGGAGCGGCCATTCTCCCTCTCTCCGTCTCTCTCTGCTCAGGTTTAAGGGCCATGTAATTTAGAGTAGCTTCCCTGCAACCCATCCCCATAAATCAGGCCTGGGCAGCACCTGAGGACAAGAGCAGAGTGAGCCCCAGACTTCAAAGAGAGGGAAAAAACAAGGGCAAATATTTTACAATTAGAACCTGCCATTGCTCCTGGCTCAGGCTATCGATCTTTCAGTCTGTTGCTGCTGGAGTTTCATTTAGGGATTGGAACTCTATCTGTTGTAATACTCTAATGCTTTGAGTTTGGTTTTTATTAATTACCTTCTGAGACAAGAAGTCATATGTCATTGTTTAAACGAATGCCAGCAAAGTACAGACCAGGAACAGACTCTGTTATAATCCATTTAGACTTCTTAGTTTCTTACCTGCGTTCACATGAAAGATGTGTGTCAGGTATGACGGTGGGCAGTGAAAGGTGACTGTGCCGACCTTTCGTTAGGCCTTTGGCCAAGTGCAGCGGGTCAGGTAACTAAAGACTAGGTCCTGAGACGCTGAACTGGGAGTCGTTGAGAGCATTGCTTCCTTCCTGCGCGCTTCTTTTTATTGTGTGCTGCGGCTCAGAGACGCCAACCTTCACAGCAATTACAGCCCAGAGTTCAGCTCCAGAAGCACAGCTATTGATCTGAGGTGGGAGCGTTGTGTCGAGCCCTTTTACCGTCGGGTCCTGAAGGTCAGCGTAGACTTAACTCTACACGGACCTGCACATAAAGTCAGTTGCACTGTTACACATGAATGTGTTTTAAAGTTCCCAGGAGCTGCTGTGTGTTTACGCTGTGCACTGTGGTGATAATGTGTTCTGTTTGTGAAGAGCTTGAGCAGAGCATCAGTGTGTCCACCTCAGACTCCATATTGTGTTCATGTTCTGTTAAGAGGCAGCAGCACAACAGTCGTCACAAGTTCTACCCTGAATATCACATCACAGCTGATGAAGGTCTTTTGTGTCGGATGTTTCTCGTGTGCATACTTCATCTGAAAAGTTCTCACTTGCATGAGGTGGACAGCTCTGTGCACGTCACTGGGATGAGCCCAACAAGTGTGCAAAAGTTCAGTCATTCTCCAGGCTTATGCAAACTGATGTCAAGCCTCTCACACAAACATCTGAACCCTGATGATCTCGGTGCTTTTGCTCCTTCTTGCTTCGTGATGGTCCGTTCTTGTGAAGCTGCAAAGCAACCACTTACACCAGTGTAGTTACCACACCTTTCAAATAACCCTGCTGATCTGCTGCATACCTTTATAGCTGAAACTGTCTGAAATGTTCAGCCCATGCCGCTCAGCTCGGAGCAGTGCGTAGGCTTTATCACGAGCACTGATTTATGGCTTCACAAACATGTCAGATTTACTGCTGTGGTGTAAAGAGCACGGAGACTACAGCCTCGGACTCTCCCCGTCCATTCATTTTTGACAGGTGACAAGACACCAGTAATTATCAGCCGCCGGGAATAAATCACGAGATTTTATCACGCAGCTCGCCGTGCCCTTGATGGAATAACCATTTTCAAGCGAGGGGAACCTGTCCAACGCCGCTGAACCTAAGATTTGTAAATCTCCTGCTCAAGCCCCCATAATGACTGGTTGTTAGCCGTTTGTTATTAGAGGTCTGTGTGCCAAACGTTATAGATGTATATTCCCAAAGGGGTAGTTAGGGGTAATAAGTGAGTAAGGTCCGGGTTCGCTAACCTTGGCTTTGCAGTGGTATGTTAATGCATGTTTTTGGTGTCTGCCACGGAATTTTCTCACCTCAATAAAAAGCCTCCAGTCAAAAAGAAAAGAAAGAAAAAAAAGGAGTTTGCGGTTATCTGTTGCCCCTCCGCTATTTGTCACACCAGAGTTCCTGAGGGGTAGTTAACGTCGTGAGAAATCTATGTGATCAACTGAACGCTGCCAATCTGCGGTCATTTCACGGCTGTTATTTTTATTAGCCACATGCTAATCCCTTTTACTGCAGCAGCGTGGTGCGACTCTGCTGCCTGAAGGGAGACGCTTTAGGAAGAAAAATGGACATTTATTTTGATAATTGTGTGTCCATAGTATATGACCTCATCCTTTACAAATCTTTATAAAAAACAAACACAGAAATGCAGCGGTGGAAGAAGACTTTACAACAAGTAAAAGGCAGAATATTATCAGAAAAATGTTCTATTCATGGGCAGAGTTATTATGAACCGTATGCATGTATCAGAATCAGCTTTAATGGCCAAGTACGAACACAACATACAAGGAGTTTGGTTTCAGCTGTTGGTGTCGCCCCAGGAATGAGCAGGAAATAATAGGAATAGGAAAATTATAAAAATAAAATAAAATAACTCCAGAAAGGAAAGACCTGTATTAGAATATTATAATAAATCAGTATAACAAATGTATTAACACACAAGCAACATTTTAAGGTGAAGCTATTGTGTAAATATTGTCTGTATTATCCATAACCGTGCATCATATTGTGTAAGTTAAACATATTTTACAGGTAAAGTCTTAGTTTACAGAGTGTTTGTTGTGCTGCTGCAGGTCTTCGCTCATCTTCGTAGTCAGAGCTGATCAGAAACCTGATGACGATCGGGCCTCTCTGAGTCACAAACAAAGTGAGACCTGAAGTCTTTACGTATCATTTGAACATTTATGGGGGGAAATAAAAACCTTAAATGCCACAGTGACGTGAGGGATAGTCGGGTTTAGTATGAGCTGTCATCATAATCTGTCAACATGTACAGCAGAGACATGCCGACGTGGAGCAGCGTGGTGACACAGTGAGAGAGTGTCTGCATCACAGATCTGTTCCAATATGTTAAAAACAAAACGTGAACACGGCAATCTGACTGACACAACAATTGTGAATCATTCTGTCTGAAATTACTGGCAATTACGTGTAGTTGGCTGCTGTAATGCCTCTCAGCGTGCACGCCAGCTATAAAATCTCCGTTGTCGGGTTGAAACAATGCCGTGCGTATTTCAGCACGCTCAGCTCGGCGCTGAAAGTGTTATTCACAAAATATCTGTCACAGCGTTTGGCCGTTAATCATAGAGGCGTGTTGAAGTTTATTCTGCCACATTAGAGATGTTTCCAGCGGTGAGAACACGAGAGGGTTTTGATTTATGTGGAAAAAAAAAAAACTTGTAAAATAGACGGTTGCTTATAAAGAAAAATATATTGTGACCAACACCAGTAAACATGTTGTCACCGTGTTTCAGGATGCAGTTCATCAAACCTGGATCTGCTGAAAAATGAACCAAAGACGTGGCTGATTAGCGAACTGATAGCTTAATTACATGTTTATTATTTAGCGTTACCTGTGTGGACAGAGCAGCGACTGATTAATGAGACACTTCTGCTTCAGTCGGGTCATGAAGCCGGGCCGGTTGCCATGTAGAGAAAAAAACAGCACACTTAATGTTTGGGCCACAGAAGAACCCTGCACTCTCTAATTTAGCCATAAGCAGAGCATTACTACAAGCTCTGCTCCTGGTGATTTATACGGTGTAACAAAACCATGCAAATCTGTCAGTACTGATGTCATGACATGTCTAACAGTTTCCTCCGCACAGGAATGTCAGAACACTTCCTCCCCTGCCCTAAATACTTGAATCATGATATGAATCACTCATTTTTATGGGACACTATTTACTATAATATCACATGAACAGCGTGTTTACTGCACGGGGCATTCAGCTCTAAACCTAAACCACATTTCATTTTGTACCATCCGGACGCTGAAATCCATCTCGAGTGGTTTTTCTGCAGCTTTCTGCACATGCATCGTGCAAAAAACAAAAAAAGCGTTCAAAAAGGCAGCAGCGGTGTATGTTCATAGAGCATTCCTTCCAAAGAGAAGTCAGTCATTACACTGGGTTATCATTACAGGGTCCATTTGGGGTGTTGGAACATGTGGTCAAGGTTAACTGTCTGTAGGCTGGTTCCCACACAGCCCACAGCAGTTAAAGTGGTGCCTCCTGACCACAGCGGCGGTAACAAAGCAGCGCAGCAATACTGTGGTTAAATAAGTCTGATACAACACTCTGTTTAATGAATGTGGGTACAGTGTGGGACCAGATCGACAGCGACGAGGAATCAGTGATTTACTAAACAGGGAACTGACAGGATGGAGAGGGA